TAGTCGTTCATGCTAAAGTTGAATGGAATCCGCGATTGCCGCATTCACTTCCATTTGTCCGTTACCTTGCTCGGTCAATGTCATGTCGTAGGCTATTTGCTGTACAATCTCAATGTTCATATTGTATAACCCGTTTTTGCGTTCACCAGTGCAAACGACCTTATTGTTTTTCAAAAAAATACATTTTTTACTGTCTGATTCCATTGTCAAACCTTTATCTAATGCTTTGCCCGTACTAAATAAATTATACTTTAAATTTGGTACATATAACACATAAGACAAATAATTTGTATTCATGTTATTTCCCACATAACATATTATGTTTATATTACCCGAACCTTCTGCCTGTAAATTTGTACCGTCGCCAATCCTTATTTCCACTGGCGACCTGAATTTTTTATAGTTCACAAACCACTCTCTGTTGCTTGTCATGTAATCAGTAGCCAAATACCATTGATTCTCTTTGCGATCAGTAACCAAAGATTCACTATAGAACGCTTGACCTGTTAAACTTGTACTTGGCGAATCTGATTTCGCCTCACCCTGATCCTTCTGGTACTTCTGATACTTCCTGCAGTCTTTCTTGAGATGACCTAGTTTCTTGCACCAAAAACAGGGACCTATCTTTTTAGTATTATTATTACTAAAATTACGTTCATTACCAACATTACCACCATTCTTCTTAAAAAATTTCTTTTGAAATCTTTTGACAGTCAAAGCATTGGATTCCTCTGCTTCAACTTCTGAACCTCCTTGAGACATTCTCGATTCTTCTATTAACAACCGAGATGTAAGTTCATTTAAATTTTTACTTGCTTGAGGTACACTGTCCCATGCACTGTAAAAATGTTTATAAGATGGCGGTAAAGTCATAAGAATTTTAGTTAGCAACATATTGTCAGAGATTTTCTCTCCCGATTGAGCAAGTTAGTTTTGAAGATTCTGTAGTTTACTGATATGCGTCGAAATGTCATCTGTAGGCTCTTTTACATAACTGAAAAATTTATTTTGTAATAAATGTATACCTGCTTCAGATTTTTGCTCGTAGATACTTAATAATTTGTTCCACATATCATATGCTGTACTACAATTTAGCAAATATTGTAACGGTCCATTTTCCAATGACGTGACGATTAGTCTTTGACATTTACTATCATCCCTTGACCACGCTATTCGTTCTAACTGAAACCTTTTCTTGGCATCCTCTTCTTTCTCGGAGGTTGCTATTGTATATACTGGCTTTTTATAATCTCCTGTAATTATACCGCTTATCTCAAATGAATTAATTATTACCTTCATTTGAAATTTCCAAAGTGTCCAGCCTTCCGAGTTACTCAGCTTTGTAATCTTCAGTGACTCGTCCATAGTTAAAAGATAACGTACTTAAAAATAGTACTTACTGAACAATTGGAATAAGTGAATTTTAACTACATAAAATACTTAGTCTTCTGATGCTTCACTGTTGTGCCTGAGACTATGTGTCTGGGCCAATAACCTTTTGCGATAAACGCCTGTATATCTTGGTGGAAGTTAGTATTTAAGTAGAAAATAAAACACAACAATAATATGTTTGTACACTATAAAAACACACAGTATAATATATATATACAACGTACGTTACAATTATAACAGCAGCCGTAATAAACTGGTAAAACCAACACCTTAATACTATGTCTTATATATGATATATTCTAGGTTACAGATGTAATTGGTCCTCGTATAAAACAACTTAAATATTACTCAATGATTTCTTCAGTGTACACATAAAATACCATATAAGGTTATATAATATTTATTACTTATATTCCATGACCCAAATAAACAATATTAATTATATTCAATACTAAAATTAAAAAATAAATATTTGAGTAGTTGAAAAAAAAATGTTCACATCACATTTGATTATTTATATTCTATAATTTGATTTTGTTTTCCTTAATACTTCAAATTTTAAGATCAATACTTTAAAATCTTAATATAGTTTTATACTTGAATGGACTATATATTTTATAACAATAACCATTTTTAAGATTAGGATGAAATGTGTCTAATAAAAGTTAAAACGATTTTCCTAAGTCTAAATATAATGCATATGACAAAAAGTCAGAGGTCGGCATATATTTTCTTGTTTTTTAATTTTTATAATATACAACTTTAAAGCTCTGTAGTGAATGAACTATACATATAAGATAAAGTTCTGAAACTCTCCATTACACTTCCACGTGCCAAAGGGATTTTAGGAGCCTAAACAACAAAATCCGTTAATCGGTTTTGGAGATCTGTAAATAGTAAGAAAAATAGCTTAAATTGACAATTTTTTTTAACTGTTAAAAACCTAAACAATTTGTTTAATTTTTAAATTCGTATTTTGAATCTTCTTGACAAGCCTTTCTAATGAGCTTTAAAACAACTTACTATATTTTAAAGTTAAAGGAAAGTTGAAAATTATGCGTTAAAAGATCGTAACACGCTGACTTTTTTCAAATTTAAATAATAACACATAAAAATGTTCTCGAATATTCTAGCTCACAATTTCCCGGTAAATCCTTTATCTTATCAGATGTTATAACCGGAAAAAACCACTGCCGTGATAAACAACACCCTAGACACGTTTCTATATAACTGGTATAGTAAAGTGATTCTACATTATTTTATCGCTCTACAGTTTACATCGAACAATAAAATTTACTGCAAAGATAAAATAATTTCCCAATACGTAGTATTCATGTGTTGCGATTTCATACAAATTACACATACTTAATTATAGACCACAAAAAACCAAACATTTGATCATGTAGAGTCTATTTGGAGTAATTTAGTTTTTGGTACCTATAATAATATTTTTTTTTGTTACAACATTTTATATCGTTCATCCGTTATTGTTTTCGTTATGTTATTTGAATCTTTTCGTTTATCGTTTTTTTGATATGTTTAACGTTTTTATATTTTTCGTTTATCAAAACGTTTTGGTTATTGTTTTATTTTTAGAATAAGCGTTTAATGTTTTTCGTTATGTTTTTGGTTATCCATTTCAATCGTTTTTTGACAAGTTTAACGTCATAATCATAACGTTATAAAAACGTTTTCGAGCCCTGTGTAAATGGCTATATTACTACCATTTATCTTCAAACTAAATTTATGTTTTTACAATAATTATTTTATAAAAGCTATAATATTATTACATATTAATAATGTTTTTTTCCTAAATGGATATTGCTACATACAGATCTTATTAGTGTTTAATCAGTAGTTTTATGTATTCTATTATTTCACAGCGACTGTTACAATGTAAACAATGGACAAAAGTATTTTAGTATCATAAAGTTTCGACATTATTATAGTTCTTTTACGAAAACATGTTTTTTTTGTAAATAAATGGCTAATACCTACCTCGTACAATCTTTTAAGTTAACATTTAAAAAACTCATATTTTACTAATATATGTATTTTAATGTTTTTATTATTGGTCAAAAACGTTGACAATACATTTATTATATAATATAGGTGATCAACTTATTGTGAACCAATTGTGAATAATTAACTTACACAATAATAAACTTATTGTAAATAATTATCTCACTGGGTTTAATTAATAATTTAATTTAATTTTCCATACAGTTTTTACACAATGTTATCTCAACTTCTTCCATATTTTGTTTTGGTTTTTACCCCCTCCAAATTTAGATTTGTTGATAGCAACTTTTGAAACTAAAATAGTAACGCATACATTTCACTATCTTTTTTTTTGAGAATTCTGTACTAAAAAAATTAACTGGTCGATATAGAGTTTTGAATAAATATTGTTAAAGTTATAAAAGTTTAAAAGTTAGGATAATAGGGGAAGTGCGGTTGGGAAATGCACACAGATAAAAATAATACTACACTCCACCCTTTCTCCTGCCAGTCAAAAGTTGTATTATAATATCAATTTAAAAAGTTAATGAAATATATGCGCCACCATTTAAGTTTCAAAAGTTGCTATCAAAAAAACTAAGTTGGGAGGGTTTTTAAAAAAATATAAATAAATAAAAAATTGAGATCCCATTGCATGAAAACACTATTAAAAAAAAAAATCTTATTTAACCCAGTGAGATATTGAGTGGTTAACGATAAGTTGATAACCTTGTATTATCACATAACATAATTATATTAATAACGTTAGTTCATAAAAACACATGCAGAACCCTTATATGTTTAATCATTAACATAATATGCTATCAACTTGCGGTATAATTTTAAAAACAAGTTTCAGATCCAAAGCCCGAAATCTAGGTCCAAAATTGAGTACTTTCGCTCCTCATAGGAAAGTGGTTTATGATATTTTGCTGGAATTTACGAAACATGTGCAAATGATAAAAAAAAATATTCTACAAAAGTTTAAAGATATTTCGACTATATTACAAAAAGTTATAGCGTTTAAATGTTTAGCCCTATTAATATTAAGTTAATTGTATCTTTCATAAGCAACTTGTCTAAAATTAAACTTGCTAAAATTAGCATAACTCACAAAAAGTCATGACAGATTTTTACCTAAAATTACAAAAATAGAAATGTAAGGGCCGAAGGCAGACATTTATAGGCCACTTTACCCGGTTACCAATGGCTATTTACCGATTAGTCTGTGTTGTGTTATGATGTAGATAGCTCTACTGGAGGTGTAAGGGTTCAACTGATTAAAATCAGAGAGCTATGATTTGCGAAAATGTGTAGGTTGTGTACATATGTGGATGTGTAGAGAAACTTATAAACTAAAACAAATTGCCGACTCAATTAAATAATTAAAAATAATAATATTTTCAACAATAATTTGAAAATTATCTCGGTTATCGTTTGCACGAATTGTTTTGTAAGTTAAAAATTGTGTACATAGCCCTCCGCTGAGATTCCGCCTTTACTATTACTCATACTACTATAATATTAAGTAAATATAATATTATACTCTACTTGGTATTAAGCTTCAGAATATTGTAAATATGTTATTCATAACGAAAAATGACAAATTTTGCTTGTGTTAACAAATTTGCATAAACAATTCTGCAAAATAAAACTAGATTTTTATTGTTTCGGTCGGCAATATATAAGCTATTCGATCAGTCGTAAAAAAACCATTACAGCAGCCAGTATAACTATCATTGCACTTATTTGGTAAGTAATATACGAAATTGTTTTCTTATATTTACTGGTTTTATATATTTCCTAAGTATAGAATGTATTAAATGTATACGAAATAACACTTTTTAATATAATTACTTTAGAAATCACTTTTTTTTTTTAATTTTCTTAATCTTTATTAGTATGTACAATAAGTAAAATGGCTTGTTTTTTTTTTTTACAAAGCTGGACGACTTGAGTGAAGGGGGCGACCAGTGACACTACTTTAGGTGTAAAAAATCACTTAGACTATTTAAATAATATTTTTAAAAATTATTTGAATACATTTTTAAACGAAGAACTTTTATTTAAATAATTTGTTATCTAGATGATTATTCAGATATATTTTAATAAAATTCTGGTTATAACTACGCATAGCATAGTACTATAGTAGGTACTGCAGGCGTTTATTTGAAAGTGATTTTATCCTAGTAAGTCAGTACAGTGAGGTCGAGGCATAATAGGATCAGAGCAGTAGGGACGGAGAGGTTACAGGTCACAGAAAAACAAAATGTATTTTTAAGTAGCAGATTTTGTTGTTATTGTACAGTAAAAATTTCAGTTCCCTAGATCTAACTTGAAAAATTGTTATTTAATCGCGGTTTTTAGATTTCAGACCACTGTGGTCTGTACGTATGTGTTAGCGAGTTAATGAAAAGCTAGTTAAAAGTTAATGAATTGTATATTTTAAAAGTTGTTATCAAAAAATATAACTATTTTATATAATAAGCTAGTGAATAATTCTAATGAGTTGTCATAGTGTAAACATTTCTAATTTTTAAGTGTTATTACATTTATTTGATTTTATAGAAAATGGTTAACGATACTATATTCTTAGGCTACCAGAATGAATACATATAACGTGTTTAATGTAAGCAAACAAAATCCGCCTTGACATAATTAAGAGGCCTCTACATCTGTGTAGTTTCCATCGAAAACAACTCTATTTAATTCAACCATATTCTGAAACGCGCGAAACGACAGTAAATTTTAAAGCTAGTAAACATACTTTGTCAATAATTGTTATTAAATATTTTCTGTAATCGTATCTCGTGGTTAAGTATTCTTTGAATCGATGTAAGACACCATGATTTTTTATCTGCATGGCTATAGCAGCAGAAGTTTAAACTTCACACCTGACTAATGTAAATAAGTAAACACAATGAAAAAAAAATAATCCTGCTTAAAGTTAAAGAATTTACATAGGGAAATCTGCAATAAATATTTAGATTTTATTTTAAGTATAAACGATCTAAACGCTTTAATGCCAATTTTTATCGTAGTCATTATTTACAAAAACAAAAAAAAAATTGTTCGTAGCTTCTTGCTGCTTTGTTTATGTTAAATGTTTCCATCTATACCACGTATATTGTAAATGGACATCTACATATTATAATATTATTTATTACTATATGTTGCTGGCCTAATACAAGTGATGTATAAAGTTATGAGATTTTATTGTACTTAGAATCTATGTGAATTGTTTTTTTAGTAGTTTAGTGTAGGACTTTAAGCACTTGTTTAGCTGTATACCATAGTATACTTATACCTATGATACTATTTGAGCTCCTCCTCCATACGTAGAAACTCTAATATTATGTTTACATACTGAACACAAAAAAACCATGTATTTTTAAAACAAGTGTTTTCCACTAGCTGAATCATAGCACCAGAAATTGTTAGATACTACTCATATTATTATTATTTAAGTACTTAAAAAATAGTTATCCAAAACTTGTTATCGGCCAGTCATTTTTAGTACAATATTATAAATTTAAAAACTTTTTTAGAAACGTGCTTTTCTAAAAATAGTAAAATGTGAACTAAAAAAAAAAAAAATTACTACAAGAACAATTTACCAGTCAATTGTAGCACATTTTATCTAAGATTTCAGTTACTTTGAAAACAACCGAAAATTAACTTCAATTTTAAATAATGTTAAACATATTTACTTTTTGACTAAAAAGAAAAGCATGGACCCTATCAACTAAGTCCCTAATAATTTTATCAGTTAACATTTTACTTAATGTTTTATATTGTAAGTTTTTTTGTAATTTAAATTTGATTTAATATTAGTGTGTGTCACATACATTTCATAATACTTTACTCATTGCATATTATAAATTTATCTATATTTATATTTTATTGTAAGTATACCTTCGTCTAATATAACATATTTTAATTTGTATTATTATTTGCAGACAAAAATGAAAGTAATCTATGTGTTAATGTACTGTGTTTTTTTAAACGTTTTGACAAATGCGGGTATGTAATTCGTTTTTACAAGTATCTACTTAAGGTATTTAGTTTAGATTTAAAAAAAATTAAACAATATTCAATATTCAACTTTTTTACAGATATAGCAGAAAAAAGAAAGATGCTTCATACTACAAGTCAGTACATTTTTTGTTTACAAAATATTATTTTAAGTTTTACGACTTACAGTTTTTATATATAATTTATTACAGACATACTCATCGAAATACATATTGGAAAAGGTAAGACATACTTAAAATGATTAATACTATGAATTGAATGGTTTTTTTTGTACTTGCCATTTGCCTGACTGTAAGGTAATTTATATTTATGAACTATAATCATATAAAAATGTTTTCATTTATTGGCCTTTGTGTGTATTGTATTTATAAAAATGGGGGTTTTCCGAAGATCTCTAGGAATTCTCAACAGTGGTGAAGTCGAGGTTTGATGAGGATAGTAAGCTTAAATAATGTAACATGTATTGAGAATATTTCTCAAAAGAGTCTCCCACTCGAAATATATGGTTACATTATAATAATTCAGTTTGTACAATATTATTGATAATCTAGAATAGATATTATAGAATAATTGTGTCATAAAATTCCAACATGGTTGAACACTCAAAGGATGGACATTGGACACTGATCAAAATTGACACGTTAAAGATACTTATCACACAAAAACGAGTCGGCCATCTTCCAAATATGCTATCACCAAATAAATTATATATAACTATACATTATATTTTTAGTTGTATATAGATATAATTTATTATGATTATAGCATATTTGGAACATGGCCGTCATTTTTTGTTTACATTGTTAAGTGACTCTTCTGCTTTAATCTATTCTGTGGTTAAATGGGCCACGTTAAACTCAAAATGTACTTCTGTTCAGAACATTTTTATACATATTATGTCGAATTAAAATTTCGAAATTTGATTTTTTTAATTTAATTAATTTATTTATTTCAGGGACCCTTTGGAATATAATAAAACATTTTGCTTGTATTATTGATTTCTCAATGGGTAACTATTATTACACAACAAAATCGATTAAGTATGCTAGTAGAAGACATTTTTTGGAAATTATACAATAATTGCAAAAACAATTTATCGATGCAACTTTACGAGTGATATAAATATTAAATTTAAATCACTCAATATTTATTTGTAAATGTAACTTCATTATTATTATTAAACATGTAATTCTACCTTGACTTCCTCCTTTAAATTTATAATTGAACGTGAAATTAAGTCTAATATCATTTAAAAATACATTTTTTATCAATTTTAATTTCAGATCAATTGACTTTTATGTTTGCAATACCTGGTAATAATTGAAAATATTTCAATATAGTTGTTGGTTATTCACAAGAATAAAACGATTCGTTTTAATTTCAGAAAAAAATTTTGATAACGACCGTGCTAAACGTAATTCATTTTTCATATTAGTAATATATTACACACGGCTTTTACATGAGTTTTTAAATTATGAGAAAAATCATATGTTCATCAAGTGTTCTAAATTGAATCGATTGTTTATGGAAGGGGTTTAATCCAAAACTACTTTACCAATATATATATATATTATATATTTATGAGTTTTAACCGTATATAGCCACAGAAAATATTTATAAAAAAATATCTAGTTATTTTTTCCGCTTAACGGAAATACATTGAATCGCGGAAATATTTTAGCATTACGGGTCCGTATAACCATAACGATTGTTTTATTATGAGGTACAATTAATATCACTATACCTCTATCTTTATGATGATGACGCGAAATCGTAACACGATTTTTCCACGCAGATTTCGGAATGACCTATGACATAATAATATGTCATATTAATTGATGTTTCTATTACAGACCTTACTGAAGATGATGTAGCAGCTCAAGGTAATTACTAGGGGTTACGGTTTTAAACGGGTACCCGTGTTTGCTACCCGGGTATTAAGAAATTAAGAACCCGGGTACCCGGGTAAATAAAAAACCGGGTACCTGGGTAATTAAAAATACCTTACTGAAGATGATTTAGCAGCTCTAGGTAATTACGCATTATCCGACAGTTGTAAATAGCGCTTAAAATCTAGATGGTCATTCGAAATTTATTTTAAGTCAATCCAGGTTTCCGTAACGTAATGAGAATAAACTGTTAGAATGAAAACGTTCATTTTACAAGCTTATAATAAACTAAACATAACATTATACAAATATTTGTTCGACCACCTTACGTTCATTTATACGCTATATATTTTAACGTTCAAAAACCTTTACCTCCAACCGAACACAAAAAATTGTACTTTCATTGAACTTTTAAACTTAGAACGTTACACGTTTTAACATCAAATCCCGTTACCCTATTTACACAAATTTAATAAACAAATCATTTTTATACGTTCAGTTCAGTTAAACGATTTTTGAAGTTAAAACGTATGACCGTCATAGGTCTTTAAAATCCCTAAAGAAGAAGAATAAAAACTAATATCAGCTAGTAGAATGGCTTGTATTCACTTGTCGAAATTTGTGAGTGATATTTATTTCTATTGACACTTTAATTGTCAGTGAAAAATTATGCAAGTAATTGTAGTTGCCGCGTATCTTCTTACTATAATAAAATATCGCACAAAGTATTAATTAAACTACTACTCATTAAAGTTTCTACTTTTTCTTCATTTTGGTCACCGTAACTAGATAGCTTGTTGTTTTATTATAATAACATACTAGTCGAATAAAATACTATATGGTTGAAAAATAAAAGATTTTTCGAATAACCTTTTTTTAAATAGACACCATGTAAACGTATAATTCCAATAAAAACATATTTTAACGATTTGTGTAATTGTTTAACTTGTGTTTTTCAAATAATGTAGTTTGTAATTTTGAAATTTCACCGTGTTTACTAAAGTTACAGAATTATTTATACTTTGTTTAACACATTTATTGAATTTATCAGCTCGTAGTGATAAATCTATACAAGATCTTGGAGATGCACGAAGAAAAATGTTAGACCCAGTTTTAGCATTGTTAATAATCAATATTATGAGCAGTAAGTAATAAACTAATAAAAAAACTAGTTGTGTCACGGAAAATTGCATAGTCGGACCAACAAACATTACAGTTAACACTTTAAAGTTAAAATAACTACATAAATAAATCGTCCAACTAATTTTCTAGTTAATGAAACTACAAATTAGTTCAAAAAGTTATTTAATACTTATTCCACCATTACAGTTTTTTATTAGGTTAATTATCCGTACCTTAGAGCAAAAGTGTAATTAGTAAAAAATTTCTATTTTCCGGGTGTTTGATTCACCTAGATTTAAATCGCACGCTCTATTTACTGTCCTACATGACGTTTGAACTCTTAGATGAGTCCATCTAAGTTTATTTATTTTAAATAATTAGTAAGTTACTTATTAATTAGAGGTTTAGAGGTGGACGTTTAAGAACAAACGAGTGCCAAGGATGTAAGTGAAAATAATAGAGGAAATGCATGATACAAGAGTGAAGAGTGTGTGTGTGGAGAAATGGAATATTTTAGTCAAAAGATATACAGCGGGAGGTGCCTTTGTGTATGATGTTTACGGAGGACGTTGTGGGAAAGTCCGAAACAATTGGCTGAGAGACTTGAAAAGTGGAGAGAAGCGCTTGAAGACAAAGGACTAAGGATTAGCCCGAGTAAAACGGTGACAATCTTGTTTAATTTTGGAGAATGTTATAGGGTAAAACAGGTAATGCAGTTGGATGATGATGAAGTGTGTGAATTTGTAGGTTTAGGAAAAAAAAAGTTTGTTATTATTAATTTATTAATAAATAATTTAATTTTTCTCTCTCCTGTAAAAATAACATTTTGTGACCCAATACACTTTTTCTCTTGAGTGATGATATCAGATTAGCCTTAATTTTAGTTAGTCCAAATATGTATTATTTTGTCAGTACAGCAAGCTGAATTTGGCTAACTTTTGAAACTTTTTTTTTAGACCCAAGGAGTCACAAAATTGATTTTAAGTACACATGTCGAACCATAGGATTGTTCTGGAGTACAAGAATTCCAGCAAGTTACATAAACACTGCAATTGTTTTAGAAGACGATACTTGTGTCATACGCCATGGAAGGTTAGACAGGAAGTCATTCCAACGCTTTGGGCTTGATATACATTATGTGGACAACAGCGACCATAGCGATACAGGAAACAGCATAGTTCATGATTTAACGATATTATGAGCATAAATATTTTCTATTTTCTCAGGTTTATTTAAATAAATGATACATAAATTATAATGTACGTCTGTTATTATATTTAAATTTTTTTTTGCGTGCCTCACTAATATCAAAATTGTTAAATAATTTAACCTTCTGCAAAATAAAACGATTTTACTCGCTATTATAAACTATTTGATTTATTTCAGTCATAATTTGTATTGGCTTAATATACAGGCTATTTAGGGCCTTTGTCGGGACCACTACTCCTCTCCGTCCACCCCATCGGCCGACATTGCTTCACAATTATTTAATCTTAGTAATTTTAAGTCCTTACATTTTTATTTTAGTATATCCATTTTGTCACTTCTCGGACCATTTGCTTGTAATAACAAAAAATTAAAAGAAGTGAGAAAAGTAATATCGATGTCTGTGGAATGAGGTACATTTGAGTGTATTGATCAGTTATACGTTAAAACGTTTCATTTGAGTTTTTCCGTTTTGTTTGTTAAATGTTTATTTATTACATATAATATTATTTCCATTGTTTTAAACACACATGAGTCTACTATATGAATTCTCCAAGAAGAAAGTCAACACTTTTTATGAATCAATAATTTAAATAACACACTTTATTCATCACAGTACACATATCAACACCTCTCGTGTAGACCGTCACATAAGGACTAGCTGGGTTACGACCATGAAATGACATGGGTAGAACCGGTGGGTTAGATAGTGAAGCCAACGTTGCTAACACCACATGCCTTGTTCTGGTCCAGTGACGGTCTTGGAGTAGTAGCTCTTCGTTGACAAGGTTAATTATTTTTTTTAATAAATAAAAGAAATACACTTATGCTTGCTTTATAAATATTAGCTGGTAGGCGACCGGGTAGCTCACAGATAGTAGCTGGTAGGTGGCCGGATAGGTCACAGATTCTGAGTGGTAGATCAGTGTCTAGCCGTTTTTTAGCTATTTGTCAGGTCAGAAACCATCTACCTATTCAAAAAGCGAGTGTCCGGTGCTATTTACTTTACGGGTTTGGAAGCAATTTTTTAAAAAAGAATGAAACGTCTAGAGGTTAGTGTCCAGACCTCCGCCGCCTCGGGCGTATGGGTCACAGATTCCGAGTACTGTATGCTAGTACGGTTATTCCGGCACTGCGTTTTAAATTAACGTCGTTATAATTCATAGTACCTTTATCTAATAAATCAGAATTCATATCAAGTTTCGAAAAACTATTTCGCAAGCTAAGTACGGATTAAGTGTAGTGTCAGTCTAGATATCTGTCAGGTCAGAAACGACCTACTAAAAAAGCCAGTTTCTGGTGCTTCTTGCTTGAAGACTAGCGTTACGTATCAGCAGTTCCTATATATATATAAATGGTGGGGATGGTCCACCATACGCGAGTGCCCCACAGGCACTATATGTTACTCGTATAAATTGCGTTTCACAATAAACGTCACGAACATTATTACTTATATAAATCTAAATGTGTTTATACAATGTAATCTCAATTTTTCACATTTTTTTTTAACTTTTGCAATTTTTAAAACTTGAATTGTAATGTATACATTTTATTAACTTTTTAAATTAAAAATAATGTACTCAACAATTTGACTGGTCGAAATGGTAATTTTTAAAGTTATACGATGAATAAAAATTAAGATGGGAAGGGAAGTGCAGTTGAAAAGTGTGCGCGGATAAAAATAATTGTAACTTCAATAACTTCAAAAATAGTTATCATAGTTGCTATCAAAAAACGGTAAGAGAAGGGTAAAAACAATAAAAATTATGAAAAATTAATTTCACATTGTATAAACACAATATGAAAAAACAAAAAAAATGTATAAATCATTCATATTTTAAGAAAAATGAGTGTCTTACATCACATGGATCACTCTCTATACAAATACTTATTGAGTTAGTTGTATTTATAGGAATAATTTTTTTTATGAATTACTATTGATAGACATGGAGACAGACGGCACAAGAAATGAGACTGGAAGAACTGTACGACAAAAATTTGACCTATAAAGCTATACAAGTTATTTACAAGAAATGTTAACGCCAATCAACGTTTCGAGCATAGGTTGGTTCTTTGAGAAATATGAAAATATTTTTTATTAAAATGAAACCGACAAACGAAAACATAATATTGGTACATAAACCTTATCAGCAACTCAATACTTTATATATTTGAACTAAATACATATATGCTTACGCAACTTCAACAGAAAATTTAGAATAAACAACTTTTTATTTTATTTATTATATTTGAATTGTTTCAACATAATCTTGTTTTTACAATATAAAATTAAACAACTTAAGTTCACTTTACTTCATAGCCTGTTTTTAATAATTAACTTAATATGTACCTAGGTATATTTATGCATTTAAATCCTAACATTTCATATATTTTATTATCAATTTTTTTTTTTTTTTTATCACAAATTCTGTAATTCTCTCTCTATATATATATTATATTATTATTCATAACAATAACTTACAATTATTATATTCTAATTAATCACCATATTATTATCAATTAAGTCTTTATTATCTTAACTATTATATTTAGATAATAAAACAAGCGCTACTCGTACATTGAATCTCAAAGGTAAAGATATAGCAGACATAATATTGGTACATAAACCTTATCATTAATTTTTCAATTCAATACTTTATATATTTAAACTGAATACATATGATTACGCAACATCAACAGAAAGTTTAGATTAAACAACTTAAGCTCACTTTACTTCATAGCCTGTTTTTAATAATTAACTTAATCATTACCTAGGTATATTTATGCATTTAAATCCTAATATTTCACATATATTTTATTATTAATTTTTTTTAAATTTTTTTATCACAAATCCTGTAATTCTCTCTCTATATATATATTATATTATTATTCTTAACAATTATTTTATTCTAATGAATCATATTATTATCAATTAAGTTTTTATTATCTTAACTATTATATTTACATAATAAAACAATGCGCTACTCGTACATTGAATCTCGAAGGCAAAGATATAGCAGACATATCTATTCCAATTTTGTACATAGTTAAAAATAATAAGCCAAGTCGTTTACATTTAGTAGGAATTCATCAAAGCCAAGTGTAACTAGTTGGGATGACTCGGAAATTATTATTTTCCGAGACAAATAGTTCTGCTTTACTCTTTCAGTTTTAGCATCTCTACCTCTTCTATTTTAATAAACTGTTACGTTGCTTAGTAATAGTTGAACCAAGGAAACCCTCCAAATGTATTCTCGAGTGTACTTATTACCAAAAAGGCTTACATACAACAAAAGTATACGACTTATTGACTAGGTGTGTTAAACGCCCGGGAAACCCTTTCTTATGTCAGTAATCAAAAGAAGTTTCTTTGAATTTGTTAATTGTGAAAACACCCATCCAGCTCCAGATCTCAATAATATTTTTTTATTAAATTAGAACGTCAACGGACTAAACAAATAGAATAAACTGGTATTAAAGGTGTATATTAGAAGTATGGCCCGCTTCCTGTTTGTCAGCATAATAGAGCTACGACGCGATGGTATAAGAAATGTGTAAACCGTGCGGCGTAACTTTTATCGCGATCCCACCGCTATGAGCACGGTTGTCGGACGCCACACCCTATAAAATAATTTCTTTGTTTCGAGTGCGATGAATATTCTAACAAAATCGTACCAGGGTCCCATGTTCATCCGGCGTCAGATGTACGCAGTTCGGCTCAATGATAGGATAATTTTAAATTTGTTGGTTTTCACCTACTGAAGGAAAGTTAAAACATACCGTAATTTAAAATAAAAATATATTGTAATCATATACTTTCCATTATTGGTAAAATAAAAGTTTTTAAGCGACGGTTTAAACGCATGAGAATGGTTGGAATGTCAACTTGACAGTGCGCCAAGGTAAATTCCAAGAATACCAGTGTATGAATTCCTACATGAACCAATTCATTTGGGTTTTCTCACCCTCATATATCTTCCTTCTCCTGAGATTGGCTTTTGAAATTTGAAACACACATTTAACTTAAGTATCTTAGGACACAGTACAAATTGACTATTGAGCCTTATCAAAGAGGGAGAAAGTTTACATTTTCGTTCAACATACGTTTTCAAAGTTTACATTTTTATAAGGACAAATTATAAGGCACTTACCATATTGATAGAAACCTGAAAATTAGAACAAAGGCACGTGTTAATACTAAAATTTAATCTGATGTCCATACTAGTATTAACACATTTTAAACATAAAACGAGCGGCATTTATTTAAAAACGCCACACCCCATAAAATAATTTCTTTGTTTTGAATGCGACGACTATTCTACCAAAATCGTACCAGGGCCCCATGTTCATAGGCTATAGCTCACCGACTTAACCATCCGGCGTCCGATGTATGCAGCTCGGCGCAACGATAGGATAATATTAAATTTGTCGGTGTTCGCTTACTGTAAGTACACTATAGGAAAGTTAAAATTGTACCGTAATTAAAAATAAAAATATATTGTAATCATATACTTCCCATTGTAGCTAAAAAAAATCGACCCTCTTCACAAAGACTTTCAAATCACATATTGAACAATCTTGAAGGTCTTTTCACAAGTTTTTAATCGACGGTAGTTAAAATCGTGTCTTTAAAATTCAGAGTTATGCGATATTAGAGAAACCCTATTAAGTCTTGTGTACCCATTTTAATTATTTAAAACTGGTTATCGACCAGTCAAAATGTTCAGTAAATTATTCTTTAATAAAAAAATCAACTAAATACATA